TTCTCATTATGCTATATATATATATATATATATATATATATATATATTAAACCTAAATATTCAGACAATCAGTATTTTTATGAAAGATCTTTTGCTGCCCTGTCCAAGAGAGCTGAATATATAGACAGTGTTGACATAGGAATCAACACTGCATAGTGACTGTCAGATCTGTGTTTCATCGGCAATGAAAATATTTATGCCTACAGCTTATAGTTTGTTTTTTTTTTTGTTTCTCTTCTCGCAGAATGAAAGCCCATGGAATCAGACCAGCTGACAAGCTTATTTGCTTTGGACAATTGTTGGGGATGTGTGACCAAGTCAGCTTCCCTCTAGGTAAGTTTTCTTTCTTTTTTTTCTTCTTTTTTCTTTTTCCTCCAATGTTTCTGTTAGAAACTAACTAGTGCTTAGTGCTATTTTCAAACCAGCATATAATTGCATACAATACAACCAGTTTTATAATGTACTATTATATTATGTTGGGGATATCATTTGGCTTAGTTTGTACTAGCAGTAGAGCCCGGCGTTGCCCGGGGATGTAACAGTAAGAGGTAGATCAAGTATCGACCATCATAAAGACTGAAAAATAAAATTGACAAAGATTATTGTTTAAGGTTGACGGACACGCATGTCTTAATTAGATTTTTTTGTTTTGTTTTGTTTTGTTTTTGTTTTTTTTTTTCGAATTTGGTCAAACCCAAACTCAAACAAAAACATTGTTTTCAATCGTTATGAGTCTACCGATTGAATAGAATTTTATTATAAACAATTGTCTTGTAAATGGAATTTTTAAAGCATTCTGAATGTAAAAATAAAGAAAAAAGTGTGCAAGACAATAAGAAATACTACCTGCCAAAAAAAAAGTGAAGTTTTGTTGAAATCGGTTGAAAAATGTAGGAAATCCAATCCCATATATAAACAAACACAGACACACAAACAACCTGGGTTTTATAATAAATATAACTTGATATGAGTTGTCCCCCTTTCATTCTCACGATGCCTCTTAATCATGTTTTCAAATTGATTTTGTGCAAAAACAATTGTTTTTCCCATTTTTGGCGCTGTCAGAACCATCGCAAGGTAATTTTACGTAGTCCTGTGAAGTTTTGTTGAAATCGGTTGAAAAATGTAGGAAATCTGATCCAATATATAAACGTACACACACACACACACACACACACACACACAACCTGGGTTTTATAATAAGTATGATTGAAGGGTTTTTGGTTGATTTTGTTTGGCGGCATATCAATGTCTCTGGATTATTTTATGCCAAAATGTAAATATTTTGAACACAGTTTTATGGCATCAACTACAGATAAAATGTATTTTTGGTCATTTTGCGAGTAAATGTATTGTTGGTAATTTTAATATAAATATATATCGTTGGTAATCGTTTTTTTTTATACATAAAAATATATTGCTGGTATTTTTACTATAAAAAATGTGATTTTATACTTTTGTCATGTTTGGGAGTTCACTATTTGTCCATAGCAAGAACCCTAACAGGTGCTACCACTCCAGGTCAGAGTGAACATGTGAACAATGGCAATTAACCCTTTGAACCTTGCATTTTTTAACAATTTTAAGCCTTCTATCTGAACTCCTGAGTCAAAATTCACAAATAGTTGGTATGTAATGTTTCATGGTAGATATAAAAATAGTTACAAGTCTTTACTCACCGTTCAACTGGTGGCTGGGCATTACGTCATTTTTCTCTACAATCAGTAAAAGGTGGTCAGGCCTCAAAGGGTAAAGAAGTGGTTCCATGCTCCTCAAAACCTCCAATCTCCCAATCAGAGCCTTGCTGCCAAATACAGTTTATCATCATACCCAGGACTTGGATGACTTTTTATACCAGACACTGGAAGGAGTACTTGATACAAGAATATTGTAACGTTCAGATCAGTTTGTGAAAAAAAAGAAGAAAAAAAATACTCCATTTTAAAAAAAAATAAATAAATATCTACAAAATGATTAAGTTTAGAATATTTTTTGTGAAAGCTGAAACCAGCTTCAACATCAATGATGCTGCTGAAATTTTAATACTAAATAAGTTCTTATACTTACCTGAAAAAAGGAGTTAATGGTGATTAGCTCAGCCATTCTCCCAGAATGAGGCCCTTCCATTGCACAGTTGGGCTGACCTTTACAATCGCCCCAAATGTGGGCAACTCGGGTGTGTCATTTCTAAGTAGGTTTTTTGATGTAATGAATATGCATACACCTGGGTTCCACCTCACCGTAATATGATTGGCTGGTGTCAGCCATAAATACAGACTGGTGTGGAGGTACAAGGACGCCTATTGTCTTCGCCTATTGCCTACACCTATTGCCTACAAGTACGACAAGGACCAGTCATTACGGTTACCTGCTAGATTGTCCTACTCAGTTACAGTAATCCAAAACCACTTTGCTACTTCGAACAAATATATCCCTTCCCGGGGCATATCATTTTTATAAGGAGTTACAAGCTCCATACCCAACCCTCCTATTTTACTCAAGCTTGCAACCTGGTTTGAATCAAGATTTATCCTTCTCCTAGGGTGGTTGCCACTCATGGCTAAAGAATCTAGTCTACCATGCTATTTTATCCAAAGCTGAAGTAAAGAGAAGATATGAGTTCATGTCTTTCCCAAGAAAAGCTTAAAAAATTAACATTTGTGTTACACATCATATTCTGATTCAAATTTTTTTTTTTTATGTCTGTTCACAGTGAAGGCAATTATGGCTTTCCAAAAATTCCTTTTCTTTATCTGAGAGTTTCTGTGAATTCTTGGGAGAAGATAGCTCACTGGTTTCATGTTGTCTTCTCTAAGGTTTTGAGCTGTCCTTCTTGACCAGGGGTCACCAAGCTGCAGGCCAGATCCACCCCTAACCCCTTGATGAAAGTTCATCCAGCCCGCCATTTCACTGTGCCACAAATTAGCTAAAATATAATTATATGGAATTAACAATAAATTATAGTTAAACTTACTACATAGAAAAATAAATGCCAAAATTTGGCCAATCGGATTTTTGCATCTGACAGTAATATAAGTTTTAGGAAAATCAGTGAAATAAAAAATTTGGTGACTTTTTGCAACTTTTGATATCCGAACGCTTTTTTTATGTAAGTACCTGCAATGAAGTTTCTAAGAAAAGCGATTACAAGCCTGCTGCAGCAATTATGTTTTAACTTGTATTGCTATGTTTAAACTGGTTTGAAGAGTGCCATATATAAAAAAGACTGACTTCATCAAATTATATCATATATTTTGCCTGAACTTATAAAATCTAATGTAAAGCTAGCACAGGTAATGAGGTTGACTGATGAACATTTGAAAGCATTTCTCTTGGTTCGATGCAGCAATAGAAAAACAAATATTAATTATATATTAAAAGGTAAACACCAGTTTTCACAAATCTCATTAACCTTTTGTGCTGCTTAGTTTTTGAGATTTAGATATGTGCGCACTTGGTGTGATATAAATATTTTATTGCTATTGTCGCCTTCCTGGATAACTTTTTAGTAAATAAGTATGCTTGTTGTCTTTATATTTGTGATTTCAGTGAATTGTATTGAAAAAAAAAAATGGTTATCCAATCTGCACTCATCATTCTCTCTGTTATCTGGTCCTCTGTGAAAAAAGTTTGGTGACCCCTGATCTAGACTGTCAAGGTTTAGAGGGCCCAGTTTACTTTGCTATTTCACTTGTGTGAAAAATTAATGCTTGGAAAATTACATCTAGATTTTTTTTTTTTATATATCCCATGACCCATAGGGGCACAATGTCTACTGCAGCCACAGTAGAAGTATAGAAGTAATGTTTCTTGAGCAAGATAGCCGGTTGGCACCTAAGGCCATAGAACCTGGGAGGAGAATAAGAGGATTCATACCTTTTCCAAGAGTATTAGCATGTAAATGAATGTAATGAATCTGACTGGAATTCGAACTTAGCTCTCCAATTCCTCAATCCGAGCCGCTATCCATTAACTCCACTGTCCCCTCTCTTCACATAATCAAAAATTGGTCCTCATTTTTATTACATTTTTATTATTTTTCTTTTATAAGTAAAAGAAAAATTTAGTCATAAGTTAAAAATATTTTTTCTTATGCTGATTGACTGAGTTTGTTTATACAAGGACATTTTGTTAACAATATGTTCAATGATTCAGCAATCATAAGCAAGCAATATTTTTCTTGTTTATTTATTTCAAAGAAATTTGCTGTCACAAAAAAACTACAAGCTTACAAGAATCAATGTTGAAGATCTGTTTGTAACTCAAAAAAATATTTAATATTAATGCTTCCTTTTCTTTTCAAAATAAACAATAATCAGATTTACTAATTTATCTTTTTGGACCAAACTGAATTTTAAAAAATATTAAAATTACAATTATCAATACGAGCTGAAAACTGAACCGACACATAAGACTTTAATTTTATTTCTGAAGATAGATAAAATAGTGACTTCGGACTCAATAAGAGATTATTCTTCTTGGAACTATATATTTATTCAATCATGTCTAAAAAAAACTCATGTTTAAAAAAAAAAACATCATAATGATGACTTAATTTTAGCCACCTTCTGGCCAGTTTGTATGATGAACAGTGATAATTATTTTGCCCTTTTACTCCAAAAAACAGCACAAAATTTTGAACATTTTCTCCAGGAAACAAACTTTTGTTGTTCTCTCTCATTAATAATGTTTTTTCTTTTTTTTTTGCTCATATTAACCCACACTCAGTTATCCCTTGTGTCTTACCTTTCTTGGGGTGAAATGATTAAAAACCTGTCCTTTTATTGTCCTCCCTCTGTTTCTTTCATTCTCGGTAACCCCTTGCATCCTAGTGGCTTTTATCTCCTTGTTCAGGGTGATTGATTAAAAACCTGTTCTTTTATTGTCCTCTCTCTGTTTCTTTCATTCTCAGTAACCCCTTGCATCCTAGTGGCTTTTTATCTCCTTGTTCAGGGGTGATTGATTAAAAACCTGTTCTTTTATTGTCCTCTCTCTGTTTCTTTCATTCTCGGTAACCCCTTGCATCCTAGTGGCTTTTATCTCCTTGTTCAGGGTGATTGATTAAAAACCTGTTCTTTTATTGTCCTCCCTCTGTTTCTTTCATTCTCAGTAACCCCTTGCATCCTAGTGGCTTTTATCTCCTTGTTCAGGGTGATTGATTAAAAACCTGTTCTTTTATTGTCCTCCCAATGTTTCTTTCATTCTCAGTAACCCCTTGCATCCTAGTGGCTTTTATCTCCTTGTTCAGGGTGATTGATTAAAAACCTGTTCTTTTATTGTCCTCCCAATGTTTCTTTCATTCTCAGTAACCCCTTGCATCCTAGTGGCTTTTT